CTGGTGAACTTTGCAAGAGATAAGACTCAACAGAAGAAAAGTTACTTCGAAGACCACAAATATTAGTAAATGATAGGTTAAGAGAACTTGGTGATGACAATGGTTTTTTTTGTTTTATAGTTTTTGGAACTTTAGTCATTTATAAATTTGTTAAAGAACTTGACTCAAACATAGATAGAACTCAGTACACTATTTAATAGTCTAAGAAATAGCCTCATAATTTTTGATAACCCTAAGCTGTTACAAATGGCTCCGAATGTGGCCTTGACAATTATCAAATAATTAATTATCAAAATTTTGATAATCAATAAGTGAAAAAAAAAACCAGTAACAATTTGATTTAAGTTTTAAACATGATCTTTTGTAACAAACTTATCTTGTGACTTAATCCAATAAGGTTATAATAAAGTATTTCTATTTTTTATCTTTTTATGAAATATTAAGTGAATTTTATTTATGCTTTATTTTATATTTCATAAAGAAAAAGCCTTATAAAAGAATGGCATTCATTTTAATCATGCTGGAGCTAAAGAAGATTAATTAGGGCACTCAAAATAGTATACTGCTGTCAAAATCAGCATGGATACTTCACTAAAAAGAGATTTACTACTATGACTATGATATAGAGGTTCAAATTAATTTAGAGTTAACAGTATAACGTGACAGAGTAACAGTATAAACGTGACAATCATAAAAAAGAGAGACAATATTAGCAAATGATGATTTTGAAATCAATTTGATTAAAAAGACTTCCAGGAGTTTTATTTTAGTTAAAATTCAAGCCTGCATGCCTGAATGTAGATCATATACAAGATCAACTTCCTGTAACCTGTTGTCACCTTGTTCTAAACAGTCAAAAAGTTATAAAAACTATAATATATAGTTGCATCATCAGCAAATAAAAGCAATTTAGTGGTAAGATTATCAGAAAGATTGTTGATTTAGAAACAACATGGGTGTAGCTACTGGCAATAAAGATTCCTTTCTATCAAGAATAACTCTAATGCTGCATTTAATTAATATGAGCGTATAGACCAGATTTTTTCAAAAGTTATGTTAAGAGCGATGGTCTTTGTCTCACAAATTCAACCTAACAAACTATTTGATTATTAACAATAACAAATCAGTAGAATATAAATCCAAGAGATGACTTAAGAAACACATTTGTTAGCAGAGGTAAAAAAAATTAACGTAAGAACAATCTTAAAGAAACTAAAGACTTAGATCAAAGATAAGACACAAACCAAGAAGTGAAAGTAAGTTATTAGAATTGAAATCAGATTTCAAAATTAAATTAGCAAAATGAGAGATATTTCAAGAGGATAATCAAAAGCCAATCAATAGCCATCAACATTAAGATCTGAAGACAGAATATCCTTATTTAAAATACCCAGTACTTTTATCAAGTAACAATCTTAAACCTTTAGTATGTAGTATGCGTGGGAAGTTGTACTAGATTATATGCTTGCCAGCAGCAGGCTGTTGCTGACCCAATAGTACATTTTTTTTTTTTTTTTTTTTTAATTCACCTCCTCGAGGCCGAGAAGGCCACTACAGACGAGGAGGCTACTTATTTGTGGCTATAAACCTCTCTCAACTCTATAACTCCGAAACACGAACCTTGATGAACAAGACCGTTGCGCGGAGAAACGTGTTGAGCGCGGTACTACCAGGGACGTGGTGAGGATCAAACTCCGAACCACTCGTTTATGAAGCGAGCGCTCTACCACTACACCACTACCGCATTAATTATAACATTACTATAATAAAGATTAAAATGAATGATTGGTTTATAAACATATGAAGAGCTCATTTTCAAAACGCTGTAAATCCATTTTTTGGGTTTTGAATAATTGAACTTTTCTCCTGCATAAAGAAATTAAGTATTTTGGAATAAGTTATTATTGATTTAATTAAACATGTACTTTATTAATAAGACTATAATATCTACTGAAATCACGCTTTATGAAATCGATGTATATTTTCAGTGGTTATTTTTGTTTTGTTTCAAAACACTGTATATCCAAGTATTATTTATTAACAAAACGCTTTATATTCATTTCATTAATAAAATATATTTATTAATGAAGCATATTATTTTGTTATGCATTCTAAGATCTAAGGCATGTTATTGGAAAAATCTACCAACCTTTTGCGGTGAGGTAAAGCTTCTTAACAGTCGTTTTTTGAAATTATTTTTTTGTGTGCGGTAGTGTTTGTATCATAGAACATTTTGGCAGAAAAAAATAATTAAAAAAATTATTTAGTTTCAAAATGTCAACCTAGCTAACTAAACAAAGATTTTTGATTGTGGACAAACACTTAAAAAATCCAACTTTATCGAATAGAATATTCGCAAAATCATTAAAAATATCAAGAAGAACTGCAGAAGCTGTTCTTAAATGGTTTACAGAACCGAAAACTATTCAGAGAAAACAAGGAAGTGGTAAAAAAAAATGCACAGCAAAACCTAGAGCTCTCGAACAATTGGAGACTTCATTGGAAGAACATCCTGATTGGTCTGATAGATTTCTAGCAAAAAATCTGAAGGTTTCTAATTTTTTTGTACACAAATGGGGAAAGAGACTTGGATATCAAAGTTTTAAAGTAGTCAAAATGCCAAATCGCAACGATAAACAAAATTCAACCGCAAAGAGTGGAGCTTGAAAGTTGTATGACAACTTGTTAACAAAACATAATGGATGCATTTTGATGGATGACAAAACTCATGTTAAAATGGATTTTAAACAAATTCCTGGGCAGTGCTACTATGCTTCTAAAATAAGAGGAAATGTGAGTGATAAATACAAGTATGTAATGACTAATAAATTTTCGAAAAAATTGATGATTTGGCAGGCAATTTTGGTGATTTTTTGCTCTTGCGGCAAAAAATCACCAATTCATGTTTGTTTGGGCACAATGAAATCTTCGGAATACGTGAAATGTTGATTTCTTGTATAAAACGACTAATTAAAGCTCTTAGAAGTACTTCAGTATTGTTATGGCCTGATTTAGCCACAATACATTACTCAAAAGATACTCAAAAGTTTTACGATAATGGAGTGATGTTGGTTCCGAAAAAGATGAATCCTCCAAACTGCCCCGAATTACGTCCTATTGAAAAATATTGGGCCATCATAAAAAATAAATTGAAATGAAGTGGAAAAACAGTAAAATCAGCTACAGATTTGAAGAAAAAATGGGATTTTGCTGTTAAAACTTACAAAAATCACTCTATCCAGAAACTTATGGGAGGCATCAAAAAGAAAGTCAGAATTTTCTGTAAAACTTAATTTTTTTTTTGTTTTTTCCCTATTAATATGTCATCTTTACAGCCTTAATTTTTCAGAAATATATTGATTTAAATACATTTAAGCTTTCTTACATCCTTTTTTGATCAAGAAAGGTAGGCAGATTTTTCCGATAACATGCCTTACCTTAAAATCTTGTTCTCCTTTGATATTTATAAAATCTTGATATAAATCAGCAACTTTTTTTAAACAATTCACAAGTGCAACTATAAAAATACATAAGGTGTTAATGACTATTGTATTCTTGTGTTCAATAACATAAATTAAAAAAAACAACAAAATAAATCATGTTATGCTAATAAATAAATCATGTTATTTTTTTATTTGTATCTTAACTAAAACATGTTTACAAAATTCACAGGAAAAAAACTTTTAAATCAAATTATGAACTATCTTCTTCACTAAGGTTAGTATCATCTTCAGTGGCATTACAGAGTAGTATTTTATACATAGTAAGTATTCTGCTTTCTACTTCTATAAGACCGAGAAGACGAAAAACATTGTCTTTCTTAGCAAGTTTAACACAGTTATTTAATTCCAAACGTTGTGGTCTAAATGTCTCCAATTTCTTCCCTTTTTAAAAGATACTGTATGATTTTGGCTCAGAATGATAACTAAATGCAACTACTTCTAGTTTGTCTGAATTATTAAGAAGTTTTTTTGCTTCACTGATATTAAATATTTTTGCTCATGACAAACTTTTTGACTTCTGATTTGAAGTCGACTGCTGACCAATCATGCCCATAAATCATGACTTTTTCATGCCGGCTAAGTATGTGTTCATTAGGCTCAAAAATTTGGACTCTTTTTTTAATATCTAGCTGAACTCAACCAAACACACAATCAGCTGGCAGATATGAGTGACCTCATTCCAGAAAAAGTATGTGTAATCTGCAGTTTATTAAAATATTGTTTTCTTAGAACAAGAAGCATACATGTCATATTTATGTTTTTGTTCAGAAAGCATCAGAAAACAACCGTAGTGACGAGGCGTTGAAACATTTATCTTTTAAAACCTTTTTAAATAGATGTTCTATAGCTGAATAGATCATATTTTGAATCTTTCCTATTCTCACATTCCATCCAAGTAAAAAAATATATATCGTTAACAGACTAAGACTTATTTCCCTTCTGAATAACAACACCAAGGACATAAAAATACAGCTGCCTAGAATAGTAGGCTTCTCTAATTGATAATTTTGGTAGTACAAGGTTATCCATCATGACAGTATCATGACATCATACAGTATAAGTATTGTTTTTATCCAAAAAAAGTTTCTACATCCACTTAACATTTAAATCAGAGGGCAAATATTTACGCCCTGGAGCACCTTTCAGGCTGTCAAGCAGCAACTTTTGAAAAAAATGTCAAGAAATGACGTTATTTTGAGGATAAAAATGACAAAAAATGAAAAAAAATGACTGATTTCATTATAAAAATGAAAAGTTCAATAATTTTATTTAGAAAATAACAAACAATATAACAAACAAAATCATCCGCCATCAATAACTTCTTTTAAAAATGAAAACCTCAACTTCTTTTTGGTGTTTAACACAGAATAAAACGTTTTTTCTAAAGTCTAAAATAATTAACATAAATAAATAAATTTTGTTAAATAATTATAACTGAACTAACAGTTCAAGCTCTATTATATTTACAAAAACTTTCAAACTTTTAACGACTACTTTAACTTTTTGCAACGCTCAATTAATCTATCCATTTCACTTTTACGTTTTAAACCAATATTTTCTCTCAACTTTTTCTGTTCATTTCTATGAGATGTAGCATTTTCAAGACTTATTTTTGCGCTGTTTACCATTTCATGGGCAATTTTTATACCCATCATGTCTTCCTTAATAATGACACTTTGCATGGATTTTGCTGCTTCATCGAGCATTCTTTGAGCAAGCTGAAACTCAAGATCTGCATTTTTTTCATCATTCTTTAGACTTTTTTCCTGTTGATCTAAATTTTTATTTTGATTTTCAATTTTTTCAAGCATTTCTTTCTGCTCTTTTTCTTTATTCATTAGTTCTTGCTCATGAATATAATTTTTTTTTTTTCTTCGTCTTCTTCAGCTTTTCTTTTTTTATATATTTTATGAGCATTTCGAACAGCATGAACAAAGTCTTTGGAGAGTGCATCAACATTATATGCTCCTCTGCAACTTCTTGCATATTCTTTTGATATTCTCAAAGCCATTAATGTTTTATCATTTAGATTTACTCTCTCAGGAGTTAATGTATTTTTGTTATCAGATAAACTTCGCTCAGCACTGGCATTTCCATTCTGAATTGTTAAACAGCTCTTAACAACTTTACTGAGATACCCATACTTTGTTTTTCCATATTCATTGTTACTTTCAAAAACTTTAGCCCAATAATGGTCTACTCTTTTTAGTTTTTTTGTATCAAAATCTATATACCAGTCTTTTGATATATTAGCTGCTTGGTATAACTTCCATTCATCTTTCACAAATGATACCTGTACAAAAATTAAGATAAAATTGTTATGGAGAAAGTGTTAACATTTAAAATTAAAGGAAAATTTAATTATATTAAAATTAAAATAGTTCGTTAACTAATAATTTACAAACAACAATTTCTGATTTGTAAATTAAAATAATAATTAGTAAATTTTGAAAATGTTAAATAATATATTTATATGGTTAATGTACTCTGCTATTTTAATTATACAGTAGATTATGTTAACAATATAAATACTTATATTATTTAAAATTTTCAAAATTTACTTATTATTAGTTTAATTTACAAATCAGAAATTATGTTTATATATATATATATATATATATATATATATATATATATATATATATATATATATATATATATATATATATATATTATTACAGTTATTTAATATAAATTTATTTAAATATTCACCTCCCTTTCCGTAATTACATGTGGCATCGTAACTGCTATTCGCCCAATTGCATTAACAGTCCAAGGTTCTGATCTCATTTGAGCACCCAAACAAGTCATATCTTTTAATATCTGCAAATCAAGTGGAAGTTTTTTTTGCAAGTGTTTTACAACAGATATATATCCATCTCTCATTTGCTGTAAGCAGACAAATCTTTTTTTTTCACATGATATTTTGTTCACCTAAAACATATTTATATTGAAAATCTACATCAATGAAAATGAATAAAAAAACTTAATTTTCAATAATAAAATATTTAATGAATAATACAATAAACAAAATAGTTTATATTGCCTAGTACACTTACTTATACATAATTACCAAGTACACATTAACCAGGTAGTAAATGTGCAACTGGTAAATGTAGCAAATGTGTACCTATCAAAAATTACCTGGTTTTTAGCTTCCTCGCCAAAGTTTATTTTATTCAAATCCAGGTGGATAGTTGAATCGGAAATTCGGAAGAATCAATTTTTAAAAGATCTTTAGTAAGCTTTCCATTAACAGCAGTCGGTTGAAGGAAACATTTCATTAAAGATATTAAAAGATTTTTCATTTTATAAAATAAAATATGAACAAGTGGTCCTTCATCTTGAAATATTGTCAAGTATTTCTTAAACAAGGGAGCTAAACCAATAAGGAATTTGATGGACACAAGTAACTCCTAAAATAATCAATTCTCTATTATATGTAATAATTCAAAAAAAAAAATAAGAAGAATAACTTTAATTACATTTTCAGTTTCCCTAAGACTTCTTTGAATCCGAATATAACGCTTGTTCTTTGTCAGTGTCTTTTTATACTCCTTTTGTTTTGGAATATATTCCAAAAAATATTTCTTGGTGTCTTCCCACCTTAATAGAACCTTTATAAGTGAAGAAGAAAGAGTGAGCCATCAAGTATTGACAAAACGAAGAAACAATGTTTCATCTTCAATAAAAATGCAATCTGATAATTTTTTAAAATCTTCTATTTTACAGGGTGCATTCTAAAACAGAAAAAAATTATATAGAGACACTACACTTTATTAGCTAGTCGTATAATAGACTATTAGAATAAAAAATAATAATAATGTAAGAAAAATAACTTCATAGGTAAAATAAAAAATTCTCTTTTAGTATTAACTGCAGTAAAATCCCGTTAAGTTAGACTCTCACAGGGAATAGATAAATAGTCTGACTTAGCGAATGTCCAAATAAGCTAAGCTTTTTGTATGTATAGAAAGCTTAAAGGGAATTGAAAATCTGTCCTGTCCGACTTAGTACAAATATAACTTATCCAGGGTCTGAATTAATGGGATTCTACTGTATAAAATTACACAAATCATTACCTTGAACCAGGTATGTAAATCAAATGCAAGCTGCTCAGCATCCTCACCGACAACATTAATTGCTTTTCGAAAAGCATTATGCACTGTGTGCAAAGTGCAACTTACAAATGGTAAAAAGCCATTAAAACCATTGCTATGAAGATCAGCATTTAACAATCTCCAAATAGCTTTGTTAATATTAGGACCATCTGCTGAAATATTAAAAAGACGATCCCATGGTAAATAAAACCTTTCATTATGACGTAAATCTTCTAGCATTGTTTTGACATCTTCTGCTGTTGCTCTGCCAAAGAACAGCGATGTTAAATATTTTTTAACAACTTGGTTTTCGTCTTCTGACCAAAAACGACATAAAAGATCCATTTGTTTTCTTTGTTGTGAAGTAGTTGTTTCATCAAACATTTAAGTGAATGCACCTTAACTTAACGTGATACTATTACATAAACGCTTTTCCAACAATGGCCCAAGGCCATCTTGCAAAATATATGAAGCTTTTTGCCGACTCATAGTAAAACCTTGACTTATTTTACTATCTGGAAACATTCTTTGGAACAATATTGGTGTGTTGTCACAATGTCTTAAGGCAAGATCATTCTCTGACTTTAAAAAGCCACATGGCTTCTGCAACAGAAATTTTTTCATTTATAAAAAACTCTAATTGTATAACTTTTTCTCTACCAATCGAGTTTTTGTTAGAATCTACATATAAATGACGAGCAGTTTTTTAAAATCTTAGATCAGACACTGACTTATGTTTAGGTTTTGAAGAATGCTGATATAGTGCTTGGAAACCAACTAAACTGAATTTTAAATCACTTTTGCATAGTTTACAGATAGCATATTCTTTTTTCAGCCCATAATTGGATTTTCACTAGATTTTTGTCTAACTTTTCCAACCACACATCATTCCACTTAACCATTATACTATATAATCTATTGATAAATATACTAAAAACTAAATATAAAAATCACTTACTTTACTAGTTCTATACTATAGAATGATTTATTTTTTAAAATAATAACACCAATTTAGCAATACAAATGGATAATTAAAATTAAAATGTGAACATAAAAGATTGTAACTGTTATTATAAAATAGTTTTGAAAATTAAATAAAAAACTAAGTAACATAATGTCTAAAACAACTTAAAAATATCAAAAACAGCAATTCTAAGCATTTAAAAAAAACTTTAAAGTGTAAAAAATTCAAGAAAAAAATGAAAAAATGACAAAAACTAACAAAAAAATGAAAAAAAATAAAGAAAAAAAAAAGAACCCAAAAAAAATGAAAAAAATGAAAAAAATGACGACTTGACAGCCTGACCTTTTCTTCCATATTGACTTGTAAGTAAAAGACTGAATATGGTTTTTAATAGCTTCTTTCTTTTCAGAAAAAGCTACTTTCTTCGTGTCTCCTCTATTTTCTGGTTGTTCTGGTTGGTCTGCTTGTTCCATGTTCATACCAGTGTCTTGCAATTCCTAAAACTCTATCAGGTTTTATGGCTGGAATAAATAATAAAATATTAACTTTTCCTCGCTAATTTTTTTTTAACAAAATATTTCTGAACTAAACAAAATGAAGCTTGGCAAACTCAAACTTTAATTCCCTCGCAGCAGAAAAAGTACTCAATACTCATAGTTCTTAACTTTATTTGATTATTATATTTCACTCTGACTCTTTTAACACTGATTATATTAATCATTGACAGTATAGTAGCATCTTGTGATACTTTACTTGCAATACTATAGAATTCTGTATGATGTTTAAGCAAATTATCATGTGTTATATCTCGAGCCTGAAATAAGTCAACCTATAAATGATTATTTTGCCATATACACTAACTATGCCAAGTAATCTTACATTGTGTATATTAAAAATTTAAACTCATAACTGAATTATAAATTTCAACATATGAATATTGACAAAACTAAAAAAACTCTTTTGCAGTAACCTGAAACATGATTACATGATATAGAAAGAATTTTTCCTCCACTTGAATGTCTAAATAACTTTTTTTTCTCTCTTGCAGAACATTATTTTTTTCTTTTTCGTGATTTTAACGTTAACACAACACTTTCATCTAAGCCATCCAAATCCGCCATCATTATTATTATTTAAATATACTCATTGCACATGCGTCAAAAAAATATGCTGTATATTTTTTTCATTGAAAATAAACTAAAAAAAATTATACCGCGTTTTGAAAATAAATTATTTTTAGAGCCTAAATTAAAAAAAAAAATTAAGCCTAATTAATTAGTTACAAACATGACTTAAAAGGATTTAATTTTCTCTTCAAAACTAGTCACTTAACACAGTTTTTTTGAAATTGGCGCTTAACGCATTTTGAAAATAAGCTCTTCATATATCAAACAGTTATTAACAATTATGATTGGTTTATAAACATATATATAAACAGTTATTAACAATGATTATTTTATAAACATATATATAAACAAATATTAATAATAATGATTGGTTTATAAACATATATATAAACAGATATTAGCAATAATAATTGGTTTATAAAAACACTTAAAAGTTTTTTTAATAAAAAAAATTTACTTGTAGTGCCATAGCTATTTGTATAAACCACTCAACAACTTGCGTTTCACTTAAATACTGTCCTAGTTTTGCTTGTTCCCTTAATCTAGTATACAAATCTCCTCCTTCACAATATACCATAACTATAGCTAAACATCCATTGTCAAACTGAAAAGATTCTTTGTACGATACAATATTTGGATGATAGAGCTTAGATAATATATCTACCTAAAAGTAAAACTGATCATTATATCAATCTAACTTTATAAATATAATCTATTTTATAAAGTCAAAAATCTTGTTATAAGATTTAATTGCATAACGAAAACACTTAAAGCTAATAAACTTTACTAAATATAATATTTACATCATTAAAAGTTAAATTGCGTCATTAGTAAATTTTAAAATACAGCGTTGTAATTGAACTTAACTTTAAACCAATAAAAATCATTTAAACTAATATGACAAAAATTACTGATGAAATCTAAATTTGGTATTTGAAAAAGATTATATTTCCTTATAATTTATCTTGTAAAACAATTATATACTTAACATAATCTTTTGTTTGTTTGACACAACTTATTTATTTTTACATATTAAATGAAATATTTTTAATAAAGATTGTAAGCAATTTATAGAAAGATTTTATCAGCAGCCAATAAGATATAAATATTTTTACAATATATTTATAACATTTTATAAATAAACATAATTTATGAATATAAACATAATTTATCCCAAAAAACTTTATACAATATTGAATTAATAAGAAAAAGAAATTTTAAATTCATTTATAAAAAGAATTCTTTTAAACAAAACACTTCTTCCGTTTTTAAAAGAAAAAAGTTTTTAATTCAATTTCACTTATTTTAATCTATGATGGAGAGACTTATATTTTATTTAACAAATTAACATTCATCGGCAAATTACTCCTGCATCGGAGTAAATGAGCGCCCGAGCGGTGAATGGGCAGCTAAAACAGAGTTGGCGGGCAATGTTTGGCGACAAGAACTTTTGCAAGCTTTTTCGATACTTATATAAAAAAACTCATGAGTAAAATAAAAATGATTATATTTTATAACTTTACACTGTAATGTTTTGTATCATATAAAAACAATCGTTAGCAACGATTGTTTTTCTGATATTTATTCAAGCATTGTTATGTTTTCTAAAAAAATTGTTAAAAAGTACATAGCATTTGAGGATGCTTTTTTTAAAACAATATATTATCATATATCACTTTTTTATTGAAATGATTTATTATTTCATAAAATTATTTTGCGTTGCGTTTCTTTTTATTTGATATTTTAAAAAAAAAAATCCTATTTAAAAAGTTTAAAAACTGCGCTGAAATAGCACCAAGCAAGTAATTACAAGAAATGACTTTTGTAATTAAAACTTAAATGAATGAGCTAATTTTAAATAAACTTAAATCTTTTATTAAATTAAAATTTAATAAAAGATTTAAATTTTGTGTTTTAGGTACTAAGTTAAAACACATCTATAAAAATATTGTGTACTATAAAGTATATTTTATTTTTAAAATTTTTTTAATTGAAAATATAAAACTTAAATAAAAAAACCTTTAAAAAACTACTAAAGTTCTTAGTTCTTTGATGTTGTTATTTTTTTACAGTTTTTTAAATGTGTTTTTTAATAAAAAAACTTTAAAAGTTTTGTCATTTTTTTACAAGGTCAAAATATTTTTTAAAAATCTTCAATAACAAACTTTTTTATTGCGCGTCGTTTCTGCTGAAGCCTGAATTAGTTGGCAGATGATAAGAAAAAAATTTGTTATTTAATAAATATCAAAGGATCCAAAATAAAAAAAAAACGGTTGAAAAAAGATTCGAAAAAAATCACGATACAACTCCGTCAGAGTTGAGAAAAAATTGGAGTTTCAATAACGTTTTTAATTATTTTGATAATAATTTTATAGAATAAAAAATGAAACTATCAAGATAATTAAACATTATTATTGTATTTATTATTTTAATATTATATATTCCAATTTATAAATCATTATAAAATTTAAAAAAATTGTATTTTTGTATTTCTTAGCACTTAAATATTTTTTTTCACAATTCCTAAACAAACAGATTTTATCTAATAAATGCCTTGAATTTTGTGGATGACTAGTTCAAATTTAAAAATTGCTTCAGATTTCACACCAGTTGCTTCATATTGTTTTAACTGATGGGTAAAAGTTTTGATTTTTTTTGGCTTTTCAGCTGTTGATTGATTTTGATTCAGAGCTTCTTGAAATTTGGCAAAAAAGGATGTTAATTGTGATGGTTCTCTTTGTTTGCTTTTAGCGCAATTATCTAATTTTGATTGGAGACTATTTTCTTTTGTTGCAAATATTTGATCAAACAATTTTGCAATATTTTTTTCTAAGCGTGAAAAAATGTCTGTTTTTATTTTTTTTTAAATTGGATATCAAAATAATGTTTTTATGATTTTTGTAACTGGAACGCCTTTGCAAATTTAGAACTGAAGTCAGTTTCTACAATCTTCAATTTGCTAACTAGCATTTCCGTAACAATGTCACACTCCAAAATTGTTGTATTTTATTTTTGCAAGCAAACTGCAGCAGCAAGCAATGACTTCTAATAAATTAGTTAGCGATTTCAATAAACCCAAGTCAATGTCATTTAACATGTTTAGGCAGTTTAGTTCGTTGAGTGTTTTTTTTTTTTACACCTTCAAGGCTGTAAAAAAAAACACATCCAAAAATCTTTTTATTATCTTAAAAGCAGGGTTTCATCTAGTGCGGTTCTCAAGCAGCAGTCCTTTGTCAAGCGAAGAACCATAAATTTAGTGTATGTTTCTTTTAGAACTTCATAATGAAGCAATGAATATTTTAATAACTTAATATTTGAAGTTTCGTTAGACTCTTTTCAATATTTTCTTCATATTCAATCTTTTCCTACACATAATTAATAAGCAGTTCTCATTCAACCTCTCTATCAGTTTTCCTTTCTGCTTAAATATTCAATTCAGTTTATGAGCAGCCCACAAATTTGTGACAATCTTTTTTAGCATATATCAAATTAAAAAAAAACTAAAATAAATTGAATAATTCTAGCAAATCTAATGTGGAAACTTAATCACGGTACCCAATATCAGCATCCACCTATAGCCATGGGTAGTTTTAATTGCAATATTTTCACTATCTATGCCTAATTCTTTTTAATTTTTCCATTATAAAAATGTATAAAAAAAAAAAAAAAACTAAAATAAATTGAATAATTCTAGCAAATCTAATGTGGAAACTTAATCACGGTACCCAATATCAGCATCCACCTATAGCCATGGGTAGTTTTAATTGCAATATTTTCACTATCTATGCCTAATTCTTTTTAATTTTTCCATTATAAAAATGTTTAAATGTTTCAGCAGAACATGGTGATGGCAATTCACCCTTCCTAAGCAATACATGAAGTCGTGGTAAACATTCAAATTAAAGTACCTTCTACCTCTATTCATAGTTAATAGACTTAAACTGGTTTGGAAACTCTGAACTTTGCGTAACAAAAACTATATTAAGTTGAAAATGCAATCACGTGACATTGACCGTGCACATAACATAATATTCACAACATAATAAACAATAGCTGTAGAAGGAGGAAACTGTAATAATATTTGTGATGCTTTTGGAAACTTTTGTAAAAGATCACAAATTTGAAAATTATGCTGAATCTATTTTAGAAGATGAGCACTTTTAAAAGTTTTAAAAATTGCATAAATCTAAAAAACACTTATCAACAATATAGCTGCTGAGAGTGATAACAATTTTAAATTAAATTTAAGCATCGAGATTTTGTTTTCACTAATAAAAAATGTGTTTTGCAAGATTATGGGAGGCTCTTTTTATGGCAATTAAATTATTGAGCAATTTAAAACTCTTCTTAAAATTTGTTCTAAAAGTTTAAACGAGTCTTACGTTAATTATTTTGGGAATGTAGTAATTCACAGTAAGACAATTTTAAATTGTGGTGATGAATATGAAGATTCTGCTACATTATTATTAAGCAAACTTGCAGATAGTATATCATCTTATTATAAAAACAATATATCTATTGTTAACAATTGTCAGACATTAAATACACCTGCAATATGTGATAGGGAAAAGTATGGATTGCAAAACATGGAGGTTATGTTATTCATAAAATTTAAAACAAAATTCAAAATTCTTGAACTAATAATACTCAATTACGAATTATTAAATACACCTGCAATATGTGATAGGGAAAAGTATGGATTGCAAAACTTGGAGGTTATGTTATTCATAAAATTTAAAACAAAATTCAAAATTCTTGAACTAATAATACTCAATTACGAAAAACATTGTCTATTTTAAAAAGCTGTTAAAATGAAACAAAAAATATTTCTGACCAAAAGCTTGTCAATTGTCTTAATCGTGGTGAACTTGCATTACAATTGAGTTTGAACAAATTTTAATTATAGCAGAAAAAATATTTTTTTTATATACAGAACAGTCGAAACTTACTTAAAGCATAGGCAGATTTTTTGATCAAAAAAACACTCTGCGATAAAGATTTAGATAAATATTACACAGCTATTATTGAAAAATGTGATTTAAAAATTGAAAAAAATTGTAAAAATTCTAATTTGATACTAGGTTTATATTTTCAAAGTTTGAAGTCATTTCTTTGCTTAAGACATTGTTAATAAGCATTAAGCAAAAAAACAAAAGCAGGAGAACAACCAAAGAAAGGATTACATAAAAACATGAAGCAACCATATAGACTAAAAGAAAAACTTAAAAAATAATGTTTTTGTTTTTTCTATTCTAAATATAGTTCTTTTTTTACTTGAGTAAAAATCAACTTTAAATATTAAAGTCAAAAAAAAGACTAATGTGTTATTTGCTCATTTATTTTCTTTTTTTTTTATTGTTGTACACTTTTTTTAATATAATGTACAATATATATATATATATATATATATATATATATATATATATATATATATATATATATATATATATATATATATATATATATATATATATATATATATATATATATATATATATATATATATATATATATATATATATATATATATATATATATATATATATGTATATATATATATACAATTAGATTTGAAACATAACTCAGAGTTTCACGCTTTATGCGATCATCAGACGTTACAAACAACCGTAACAACAACAAAAATTATATACAAAAATACAATACAGTGTTAGCTTAGATGACGTTAAAGTTGCAAATAACAAATTTGTTTTCGTGGCGACATTTTGATATTAGTTCATTTCGTTTATTAATTAATTATATTGGTCTAACGGAACACACCTTTAAAGATCGCTGGTACAAACATAAAAATTCCTTTCAATACGAAAGTAAAGCTAACACCACAGAACTTTCGAAATATATCTGGGAAATGAAAAAAAAGGGATTTTCAAATCCTATTCTTACATGGAAAGTTATTGATAGGGCGGAACCATTTAAACCTGGAGGAAAGTTATGTAACCTTTGCTTAACCGAAAAATACCATATCATCACGTCATCTTTGAAACTACTGAATAAACGAAATGAACTAATATCAAAATGTCACCACGAAAACAAATTTGTTATTTGCAACTTTAACGTCATCTAAGCTAACACTGTATTGTATTTTTGTATATAATTTTTGTTGTTGTTACGGTTGTTTGTAACGTCTGATGATCGCATAAAGCGTGAAACTCCGAGTTATGTTTCAAATCTAATTGTATTTATTTTATTATTAATTTAATACATATTTGCTCTACTTTTGTATTGAGCACTCTCTACCAAGAAATTACTTTTATTATTGATATATATATATATATATATATATATATATATATATATATATATATATATATATATATATATATATATATATATATATATATATATATATGCATTTTTTTTGTTTCAAAGATCCAAGTTAAACATTTTATATATAATGTTGATTTTTAAAAGTTTTGAATATAAAGATTAGTTATAAAATCATGTTTTCATTTTTTTTTTTTTTTTATTATTAAATCTTCAGAGATGTTTATCCAAGCTTGTTTATTGTCATATGAATCTCTAGTATTTCCAGTATTAAGCAAAACACTTTGTTAAATGCATATTGCATTAACATTATAGCAAAACTGTGTAGCATCAGGGTTATCTGAATAGTGCCCAATTTTCTTTTGAGCACTAAAATATTCCTCCATTGAATCTTGGCAAAATCTTGTAAGTATGTAATATAATATGGCATACCCTCACTTAGCAGAAACTTTATAACCGTGTTATATAATATATATATATATATATATATATATATATATATATATATATATATATATATATATATATATATATATATATATGTATATGTATATGTATATATATATATATATATATATATATATATATATATATATATACAGGCTTGGTCGGGAAGCGAGAGCGATCGCTCTCGATTGCTGACCACGTAAATAATATTTAGTTGCGAAAAGCTGGCCAGATATTTCAGCCGTTTTGAGAACATTTTAAAAAGCAAAAAAAAAAAAAGCGACTAAGATTAATTGGACCGATGAGAGACAGTTACAAAAAAAAAATAATAATAAAAAAAAATAGGCAAATAAAATATCTTTAAACGCAAAAAAACTTAAAGCTAAAAAATTACATTTAGAACAAATATTTTCTAAACATCGATTTTTTATAATTTTTTTTATAAAATTAAGTAACAACTTACGATTGTTTAAAAGGGAAACAAATATTCTTTATTTAACTAAGTTTGCAAGTTTTAGTTTTACTTAAGCTTAATTTATTTTATAAATAAAAAAGTTAATTTTTTTAATACCTATTTTATGTTTCGCGTAGTTTGAAAAGTTTAACATATTTAAAGCGATTCTTCTTAGTAAGATAAACAAATGAAATAATTAAATCATTGAATTACTATAGGAATTAAATTATCATGATAGAAATCAACTAAAAAGGTTAAAAATACTTAATGACCAGGAAGCGAAACTGCTTCACAATATCGCTGATGATGTTTAGTGAGTGGGCTTTTAAATTTTAATTAGTATTTAAAGCAGCAAAAAGTATAACAAGTTTTAAGAATGGCAATTTAAGCGAAAATAATTAGAGTTAGTAAACCTATATCTAGAAACTTTTCTTTAAATCTAATTATTTGCTATATATATTTGTGTTCTGTTGTGACCTCACGCGCGATGCTTGTTCATCCGCGACTTACTTTGTATGCGTTGTTTGTGTTTAGTAACCAGAAACTTCTTATATGTTTGTTACATAATTAGTTTTATTAACTTTAACGATTATAACTTCATTGAAAACGCAATTATTTTTGTAAGTCTTTGTTTAAATCATGAAAATTGCTTTAAAAGATACATTACGATAAAAAACAAATACACAAAATTACATTTACATAAAGAATACAATCTCTTTTAAAATAAAAAATAAGAATATACTAGTAAAATCTATGATTTATGATAAACTTTTAAAATTTTGATAACTTAATATATATTTAAAACATTTATTTTTGTAAACAAATAATAAATATTTTTAAAACAATTTATGCTAGAAATCTCAAAACGTAACAAATCGTGAATAATACAAATTCTAAAACATTTCAACAGAATACTCTAGAACTTTATTTCGCTTAATCAGCGTATTTTTTGAATCAATAGAATTAGTTTGTTTGTTAATTTGGCGGGTTTTTAGTGTTCGCAAATATTCTTTTTATTCTTGCGCTCAAATATGTTTTGAGAACATTCAAGTTTTTTATGTTTCCATGTATGTCCGTAAAACAAAATTTTTTTATTTCGCACATAAACTTAAATGTTCTCAAAACGACTGAAAAACCTGGCCAGTTTTACGCAACTAAATATAATTTCCATGGTCAGTATTCGAGAGCGATTGCTCCCGCTTCCCGACCAAGCCTGTATATATATATATATATATATATATATATATATCTATATGTATATATATGTGTGTATATATATATATATATATATATATATATATATATATATATATATATATATATATATATATATATATATATATATATATGTACACCATATCTAAACTACTTATAAACCAATATAGTTGTACAAGATCACCTCTTGATTATCTATTTTCTAACATTGGGAGATTATATAGTAATATTACATGCACTACTACACTATAGTAATACATAGTAACATAAGAGTTTGTGATATAACGCAACGTCATTATGATATGTTTTAATAATTATTACATTCTATATATTATCTGTAGTAATTGTTTACAACTTTTTTTTATCATCCGGTTTAAATTGCTTTTCACAAGCAAAGACTTTCCCAGAGTTGATTTGCTTTGTAACATATAAAATACTCTATAATAAATATATACAAAACTGTGAAAAGCTGATAAAGCCTTGAGTCTACTGTTACTAGACTCTAAACCAGTAATATTTTAAATGCTTTAAAAATATTTTACATTGTTTATAAATATATAGTAAATAAAACAAAGCATCTTGTATTTGTAGAATATAATGAACTAAAATAGTAATTTTCCTTTTGTAAATATTTGTAAATCACCTGTTTAAATATTATCTGACTTGAAGTACATCTCCAGACTATCAACGAGTTTATAAAACAGTATTCAGTTATTTAATTTGCTCATTAATCTTAATGAGTAAACTAACTAAATGAATTTCTAATTTATACTCTAATAAAGCAGAAAATGTGTTTGTTTCTTGCTTACGATCCGTAATTAATTAAACATTTTATTATCTCTAACAATGCTCTCTTTAAAAAATAGTGTAGAATCTATACTAACAATATTACTTCATTTTCAAGAGTTTGTTTAATGAACTTCATTCAAAAATCACATTATGTTACAAGCGTTATACAACGTTAATAAGTTTGTGTGCACGGTCACGCTTGATTTACACTCTATTTTTGTGTCAATAAGTTAAACAATGAATTTTACGGAGTTTCCAAACCATTTAAAGTCTATTAACTATGCTCTATTCCTACACCATTCGTCACCTGTAAATTCTTAGATATTAGTTTTTGATGCATTTAAATTAAATAACTTTGAATTAACTAATATTTAATTACAATTACCTATAAGATAAATTAATTTTATATTTTTATTTTTGTTTGTTTTTAAAATTATTTAATTAATTGTTTTTAAAATATTATAAAACTCTCTGCCAACTGTGATGCCACATTAGGTTGTCAATGAAAAAAATGTTTTTCTTAACTTTAATAATTCATTAAAAATTATTTTAACAGAAAAAAACAACCTACCTCTTGCTGAGCAAACAATCTCTCTTTTTTTGATGCATTACGCAAATCAATAGATTTTATAACATACTAAATTTAAAGATAAAGTACTTTAATAAAGATAAAAATTATAATTAAAATAGATATTTATTTACTTTTTAAAAAAACTAAATTATCTATATAAAAATAGAAATATAATAGTATATGAAAATATAAACAAAAAAATATATGTAATTGCTTTTATTGTATCAAGTTAAGATACAAAGCCTTTTGTTTGTTTAAGAGTGATCAATATAATGTAAATTGTTTACAAAATAGACAGGATTAAATTATATAGTATTAGATTATTTGAAAAAATGCAACTTTGTGATTGTACATAAGGTTTTATGCCATTTGGCAATCATCAGCCATATTTACTCTTTAAACCAAGAAAAAAGTGTTCAAAAATTCAAAATACAGAAACTAATGGAAAAAAGAACAACAAAGTTATGGAATAAGTTCTGACATCAAAACAAAACAATTTTTAATTAGAAAATTGCTTAATCACCCATGTCGAATTGGGTGAGAAAATACTTGTTTTGATGCCTGGACTTAGATACTATCACTTTTTTGGTTTAACAAATTTTGATTTTTGGAGAATAAAATTTCATATTTTTTGTTTATGTATAGTTAGCAGAATTTCCTCAAGGTTCAATCTTTGGCCCTATACTTGTTCGCTGATGATTGAAAAGGATCTCACTTCTGCCACAGCATGGGGCTCAACGTTATCGGAATAATTTAGACCTTCCTATATTTATGAACGGTAATGCACTCAATGAGTCATCTAATCTTCATCTTCTAGGATTAACTCTCACTTCTGATCTTTCTTGGAAACCTTATATTAAATCCGTTGCAAAATTAGCATCTGCTAAAGTTGCATCTTTTTATTGAGCTTGACACTTTCTTATTCTGGATTCTATTCTCTATCTCTATAAATCTCAAATCCAGCCTTGTATGGAATACTGTTGCCATATCTGAGGCGGATATTCTAATGATGCCCTTTCTCTAACAAAGCAAAAACGCTTTGTAAACATGGACCTGCTCTTGCAGCTAACCTTCAACCTTTGTCACATCGTCATAATGTTTCTTCTCTTTCTCTTTTCTACAAATACTATAATGGGCACTGCTCTAAAGAGCTAGCGTCTCTTGTGCCATCTACTAAAATTTATTCTCATGTTACTCGTCATTCAATTAAGTTTCATCCTTTTTTTGTTACTGTTTCTAAGTGCTCCAAAAACTCTTATTCGTCTAGTTTTTTTCCTTGAACATCAGTTCTTTGGAATTCGCTTCCTTCATCTTGCTTTCCTGATTCATATAATTTGCAAGTCATCTGTCAATCATTATCTTGCTCTACAACCTTCATCTTTTCTCTTCCAGTAACTTCCAACACTAATTAGTGGTTGCTTGCCTTGTTGGAAGCGAAGATGTTAAAAAAATATATATTTATATAATGGTTGGGGTGTAAGAATTGTACTGTTTAATTATTTTCCATTTAACAACTGAACTTAAATTGGTATTTTTAAATTTTCAAAATTCTTTTGATAGTTCAGTGTCATTTTTATATTTAATAATATTAAATGATTTTATATGGTTGGCATATCTAATTTCAAATGGTGTTTCACTTGTACCAATGTAAAATTTATTGACAGGAGTGTTAGTAGGATTATTGGAACTTATATTAGCTTGGTATACAATGCTTTTTATTAAGCATTGGTTCAATAAAAAGCAGGTATTTTTATAAGGGAGTTGCAGTTGGTTTTAGGTGGAATTTATTTGTGGTCTATTATGTGTTGATTGTGCGCATTTAAAATAGATTTAATATTTAGCATACAGCTATAATTTAATTTTATCTGTTGAAAATTTGCTGAAGTTTGTGATTTATTGGAAAGTGTTTGTTGATTAAGGTTAAAAAACTTATTCCTACATTAGTGCTAACATTTTTGCTGAAAGTAGGGTTAAACCAAATGTTGCGTTTACTGGTCTTGATATGAGATAAATCAATATGAAAGTCTATGATTAAAACTGGACAACAGAGCACATTGTACATTTCTTCACTTGATTAATTTGCAGACAATCTTAACTGAATTAAATGCGGAAACTGTTTTAAAATTTTGGGCAGGTGGTTCGAATCAGTTTGAATATAATTTAAAGAATTGCATTAATAATAATACCCTTTATCATATATATATATATATATATATATATATATATATATATATATATATATATATATATATATATATATATATATATATATATATATATATATATATATATATATATATATATATATATTCTGAAAAATAATTTCATGGATATTTACAAATAGTAATTCTACTAATATCAAGTAAACACCAAAAATATAGATCTTTATATATATAATTAGTAATAATTATAAGAATAATAAATATAATAATAAAAACAATATTTGTAGTAATAAACATAAGAACCCCAATAATAATAAAACAAACAACAACAATAAAAATTATAATTATTAATTAAATTAAAAAAATAATCAAATAATAAGTCACTTGTTTTTAAAAACACAATAGTTAACAATATCTATATATATCAAACAATTGACTGATAAAACGTAACAACTAACAAGAACATAAAATATTTATTTAAATTGAAAATAATAAAATATGAATAGTAATAGTAAAGTTAAAAATAGTAATAATTGTAGCTACGATAAATATTTAAAACTAAAAGAAATAAAACTATAACAAAAAACATGATGAAAATTAAAAATAAAATAAAGAAAAACAAAAAAGCATTAAAAAAAATGATAAAGTTTAATATTGTTACATGCACACACAAACACAAATACAAAGATATATACACATACTTAATCACATGCATAGATACACACATATTTGCACATAAATACACACACGCGCTTACATGGACTCACATAGCTATGTGCACATACACATATAGATACATATACATATACGTATATGTATCTATATGTGTATATATACATAGCCATGTGAGTGAATTTTTAAAGCTGTATATGTATATACATATATTACTACTATCAAACCAATGCTTAACAAAAAACATTGTATACCAAGCTAATATAAGTTTCAATGAACCTTCTTATTACATATCACTTATGGGTCATTCCATGCCAAGTGGAGCAAAGGTCCCTCATGGACTATTTCAGATTGAAACTTTTTGATTTTGTACATATATATGAGAAAAGCATGCTTTGAAAATTTTAGATCAATATCTAATATGGTTCTTGAGAAAACACTATTTAAGTAGTGGACTATTTTGCATGAAATTTCACTCAACAAGAAAAAAGATTTCTTTCATCATTTTTAACAGCTAATAACTTTTGGACAAGTTGGTTTTATACTTCAATTATTTTAAGATAGCAAGTATGCTATGGATACTTTTAAAAAAACAACCTTTTTATTTTTTCCATAATGGCAGGCTAAAGTTGATATTTTTGATTTAAGATTGAAATTTTTTGTGATTTTACAGAGCATTATTTTAAAAGCTAGTTCAAAAATTAATACAAATTAAATTATCTGTTGATCTACACGTGATGGATAAATACTAAAAAAATCAATTAATTAAAGAGATGCATTCGGTCATCAAAAAGAGTTGGATCAAGACTTTTTTTAAATTGATCTGCGATGCAAAGCATCCGTTACCTAAGATGGCACTTTTTTTTTTCATAAAATATTTTATACGCATCAATCAAAGAGTATTAATAAAAATCAAAAAAATTAATGGGCACTTATTTATAATCCCAAAAGATCTCAAATCCCAAAAGATCTCAAATCCCAAAAAATCTCGAAAAGTCAGTTAAATTTACTATAAACAAATCTGAAGTTAACAAAATAAATAAATGCATTGAATTAAATAATGTTAGTTGTTATAAAATAATAATTAAAAACATCTTATAACCTTATAATCCCAGTAGAAAAAAACTTATAACTAGGGGTGAGCAAAACCGCATATCTGGTCTGGTTTGTTAAAATCAGATTTGGATTTTAATAAAGAAGTTTGTAATATGTAATATGTGTTTCTATTGAAACTTTGTCAACAAAAAGAAATAATATTCCTTTGACATGTTAAACACACCAGCTGTACATTTTGCTTGATGTGCAAATAGGATTGTTAAGTGACTGTAGACTGGCTTGAGCAACAAGACGTTTTACCATTCCACCAACTCCATCACAAGGATTTTAACCATGTGATGTTGCAAAAAAAAGCCACTTTGCAGTAATGTCAAAATCATGTTTATGGTAGCATAAGTTGATAATATTTTTGTAATTTTTATATTGTGATGCAGCTCCATCACTAAAATAGATAATGTGTTCAAATGTTTGGAATTGTTTAAGTTTATCAATAACATTATTGATAAAGCAGTGAACAGCATCTGTTCCATGTTTTAGATAATCCGATATAACACAACAACTTTGACTCTCAAGTTTATAAAATAAACAATAAAGCGATGCAAAGTTGTTGTCCTAGTGAAAACCTTGCACTGCATCCTGTATTAGAAAATTCTGTATTAGTTTTCTGCTAAGTCAAAAAGAATTAAAAAAGCTTGTTTTTCTTTTAAATTAGTTTTCAAATGTTGGAAGTAGATGGCTTGACTTTTTTGATATAAAATGATGCCCTCATAAATTATCAAACTGTTCATAAACCATTTCAATAAATCTAAAGGTAAAGTTAAATTTGATTTTTAACAGGACATTTATTGCAGTTATGCAGCATATAATCTTAATTTTCAATGCTACAAACCTTTTGTAATCAAGCTTTTGTAATCAGCAATTCCAGGAATATTTTGTACAAGGAGCTTTACATTTTGATGGTACTGGCAAACACAAACTGCATGCAGACCACAAGTACCACCCAAAGGAATGCATCACTTGGGTCTTAGCTCACAAAATTTTGAAAATCCAACTTCAAGATAATTAATTTTTTTTTAAAATCAATATGAAGTTCTTTCACAATGACTAGAAGTCAAATTTTGGATGTGTCGCTTTATATATATATATATATATATATATATATATATATATATATAT